CTCCCGTCTGTGCAAGTCCAAGGTCCCAGGTACACAGGGAGGCCTGCGGCTCTGTCCCTCACCAGGCAGCTTGTCTAACAAGATGGAAGAAAGGCTGGAGGGCTCTTGGCTTCCTAATTCCACCGCAAAACTATGCTTGAAGGGAAAGAAATGGAAATGCTCTTAAATTTCCTAGAAATAGGTAGTGATTGCACAACTTTGTGAATAACACCAAACCACTGGTCCGCACACAGGGTGAATTTTATGGTATGTAAGTTCTACCTCAATTGTTTAAAATACTTAGAAAATATTACCTAAAATTGCAAAAAAAACTGGAAATAATCAAAATGCCTAATGACAGAGTTTATACCACGTATTCTGGGGAATAAACAAGTGAACTGAAATATATTACACAGATTTTCAATACAAGGAGATTTAAATATGTGTGTGTGAGAGAGAGATCAATACTGGGAGATTTAAATACGTATATGTGTGTGAGAGAGAGATAGAAAGAAAGATGAGGTCAGAATAATCGAGTATTACAGACCAGTTACAGGTCCTTATATAACAACTTGACCCAAGTCCCGTGGAATAGACTATGGATACCGCACTCCTTCTCCTCCAAAGTTGGAAGGAGGACAGCATTTCCATTTGTAAAATATTTCTGTGAACATTATCTGATTTAATCCTTAAAACCACCCCCAAGAGAGAGGCAGCAGGGGTTCTCAGCATTACCCAGAGGTTGTGCTAAAGGTCACAGCCTTCAGAACAGAACTGGAAACCTTCGCATGGCTTCCACACCACGGAGACCTGGGTTTTCCCAGCAAAACCAGATTTTTTTTTATTATTATTATCTTTAGTTGTTGATGGACCTTTATTTTATTCATTTATTTTTATGTGGTGCCGAGGATCGAACCCAGTGCCTCACACATGCTGGGCAAGCGCTCTGCCACAGAGCCACACACAACCCGAGCCTCCAGATACATTTTTTTTTTTTTTAGTATTTTTTTAGTTGCCATTGGGCCTTTATTTTATTTATTTATACGCAGTGCTGAGAATTGAACCCAGTGCCTCACACATGCTAGGCGAGTGGTCTACCACTGAGCCCCAGCCCCAGCCCCAGCCCCAAACCAGATACTTTTTAAAAAAAGAACTAAAGGCTACCTGCCGTCCCCACCAATATCTTCTGGGATCACTAAAATTAAGAAGTGAGGGCCGAGCCGAGGGCAGGCCGGCTGGCTGGCACTTTCTCTGGACAGGAGGCCCACAGCTGCCCCCAGCTCACCTTGCAGACAGCATGGCAGATGGGCCGGAAAGAGGCGCTGGCCCGCAGAGCGAGCTCAGCCTTGGGCACACAGGCGGAAGGCAGGACAGCTGGTGCGTATCTGGGAGGACCCTGGCTGCCCCGGTCCCTTGGTGAGAGGCACTGAAAGGTCACTCCACCCCTCAAAGGTAAACGTGTGCTGTGCTCCTTTTCCCTGTGAGGGGACAGCGACCCTCTCCAGCAGAAGGGACATCCTCAGGAAGTCTCCCTCCTTTTTTCATAAAAAAGAGAAAAAAAAAGGCTTCTGCCCAGAGGAAAAACTGGGGCAGCAGAGACCTTGCCCCTGGGCACCTCCTGGCTGGATGGCCCACTAAGGACAGGCGCGAGGGGAGGCTGTGGGGCGCTGGGCAGGAGCTCGGGTTCACAGGTGCCAGAGACCCGGTCAAGCCTCAGCTGCACAGGTGGCCCAGCTCTGACCACTGAGCCTTTGCCATTAAAGACCTGGTCTGCAGCTGCCATGAGGGCCAAACAAGGGGTCCTGGCCACACAGAGGCCGAGTGACCTGGCCAAGGTCACTTCTATGGCCCATGCTGCTATCAGGGGAATCTGTGACTCCCGGGGGCCGGGCTGCTGGGAGGACCACCCAGGTCAGGGAGCTGCTGAGGCCAGCTGAAGGATTCTCTCGTGCCTTCCTCCCCTGCCACCCCCAGCTGGTGCAGCAGCCTTGACTCTGCAGCAAACTCCTCCTGGCCAGAGGCTGCGGCAGAACGAAAGGAAGAAAAAAAAAAACCCAGCCACAGAGGGGAGGAGCTGGGGAAGCCACTGCCACCCATCTGGATGTGGGAGAACAGGATCGGGAAGACTGAAAATGACCTTGCAGCTACAAGGCTGCCTCCCAGGGACCAGGAGAGCTCCACAGCCCCAGCCCGGCTCGCAGCCCGCCTCTCTGGGCACACAGGGGCAGTCTGGGTCCCTCTGGACAGGGAGCAGCCAGGGCTGCACTCTGCAGGGAGAAGGAGAAGGGGTCTACCAGAGGCTTGGCAGGGGCGGAGGGTGAGACGGGAATGGCCTGTGAAATTGGTCCTTATGATTAATGTTCCGACTGCGGGGTTTGGAATTCTGCCTCAGAAACTCCTACCCATGCTAGGCCCACGGCAGTGGTGCTGGCCTCCCAAGCCCACCAAATTCTGGCAGAGGGTCCTCTCTGCTCCAGCCTGCCTTCCACCGGGCCCCAACATGGGGCTCAGGGCCGGCCGTAGGGGTGGTGCTGCAGGTCCGCAGGACTGTCCTCCCTCTCTAGCCTGGATTAGAGTCCAAAGCAGAACGAGGGAGATGTTGTGAGCAGTGCTGGGTTCACCAGAGCTGCACCAGCCACCTCCTGGGGTGCAGACAAAACCTGTTCTCTCGCACACACACGCACAGATGCCCTATTTCAGAGTACCCCTGGCCGAGGTGGGCCTGGCAGCAGGTAGCCATCCTGTTACTGTTTGGGGTCCTGCACATGCCACTGGCAGAGAAACACACTGACCAGTGAGACCCAGACCCCAGGAAGCCTCAGGCCTGCCAGCCTGTTCTCTCAGAAATGGATCCGGACTAGACCCACTGGGGCCACCCTCCGTGGCTGCAGCCCCTGGCAGGGGGCACGGTGGAGCCCCCACTGCCTGTCCTGCTCTGGTCTGAGGGCGTGGTGCCCTGACAGTGGAAAGCACCCTGCTCCAGTTCTGGAGCCATGAGAGCCACCCACAGCAGCAGCCTTGCAGACATGGTCCCCAGACCTCTCCCTGAGACAGGAACAGCCAGCCCAGGCAGGTGCTGGGTTCAAACCCAAGATCCTCCTTCCACAGGCTCTCCTCAGGAGGAGACCTGCCCAGGCCTCTGCCTGCCCTTCTATAAGAGGAGGCCAGTAAGTCTGGTCCTCAATCTTTCTGGCTAGGACAGTCAGGCCTGTAGTCTGCCTGGCCCCTGGCTCCACACAATCCTGCAAAGAAGCCACTAATGGCACGTGACACAAGGCGGCAGAACTCAAGGTAAGTGTGCCAGACCCCGCGGCTCTTCCCACCCCACAGCAGGCAAAGGAAGTTGCTGCCGGGAAAGAGGAGAAGAGACCCAGTCCTCCATCCCTGTCAGGGGCTGGGCACAGCCAGAGCGGAGAGAGGCGCAGGCGCCACCCACTGGCATGCAGCAGGGTGGCAGGGCCCCTCCTGCCTGCTCCACATCTGCAGCTCCACTGTGCAGCTGAAGCAGGGCCAGGCCACGCGCAGCCCTGTAGCAGCACATCACATACACAGGCTCAGGACACCGCCTGAGCCCTGAGCACCAGGAGGGGTCATCTGGAAGGGCTCAGGAGGACCTGAGACCACGAAGGCTCACAGTGGGAGCAGGGGGAACAGGACCTGTTCTTTGACGAGCATCCTGGAGTGGAGAAACCAGCACCTCTAAAAGACGTCCTCCAAGGCCCGGCTCAGAAGTCCCACCCTCCCACCTCACCTGCCCCATGGCACTGCCTGCCTGTATCCTCTGGGGAGTTTGTCCCTCATCCCCAGTAGTCTGTGAGGTGGCAGGGCATGGAGGCTGGGTCGCCCACCACCTGAAGCCCGGCCCAGAGCGAGAAAGCCGAAGAGCAGCCCCGGAGGAAAGAAAGAGAAAGAGAAAGGCCTCTGGTGCCCCAGGTCCAAAGGCTCAAGGCCTCCCCTCTGGCCAGGTCCACACTGCAGGGTGAGAGCGTGGGAGTGGCCTCCAGGATGGCCCTGCTGCTGCGGAAGGCGGCCACAGGGCTGGCTGGACAGGAGGCCGCTCTGAGGCACCCTGCAGTGTGCTCGGCCGGGAGCCAGGACCGCACTGCTGTCCCCAGGACCAGCCTCCACGACTCCTGCTAAGGACCTTGGGCATGCCACCAAACCCCATCTGTAAGAGAGACCAGTAAAGTCCCCACTTCATACGGCTGTTGGGGGACTTAAGGAGACAATAAAAATCACTTTTATTATCACTGGGTAACAACCAATGCTTTAAATGCAGTCAGTGCTCCAAACCTGAGCTAACTGATGCCAGAGCCCACGCCACCTTAGCTGTCACCATCCACAGATGAGGGAGTAAGGTACCAAGGTCACCTGCTAGAGGCAAAGACAGGCCTGACCCTCGGGTATCCCAACCCAGGTTGACACCATCCGTTCAGCATTTGATTAAGACTTCCAGGGTGGGTGCCTCCTGGGACCCCCTGTCCCAGGACAGACAGAAGGACAAGTCCAAGACAAGGGCTGCACTGTAGATGGAGGGGAGGGGACTGCCATGAGAGTGGGGGGTGGGCCTCACAAGGCAGGCAGCAAGGCCTCCCATGGACAGCGAGAAGGAGGATGGAGCTGAGCCTACACCTGGGGGGGAGGTGGGCGGGGGGCTTCCCCCGCAGGAGTGCCACTCCCGCAGGTACAAAAGCATGCAAAGCCCTCGCGCAGCTCTGATGGTCACCCCCACGCTCACGGAACACCCAGGTCACTGCCAGCATTTATCGCCTGCCAGTTGTTTCAAAGGTCAGTGCCAGGCGTACACTGCTGGTCCAAATGCCCCCTGTGGGCAGCAGGGGTGAGCTGGGCTGGGCCAGCATGCATTCTGTGGGCTGGCCCCGTGCAAATGCACACAGCAGGCCCTGGAGGGAGACCCCACACACCAGCACAGAATCTCCCTGGGTGTCAAGCTGGCCAGAGTGCAGGGGCCCACGCTTCCCCAGATACCAGCCCACGAGGCCCAGGAGCCGCACACCTACCTTCTGCATCCACTGTCTCCTTCATGATAACCTCCACCCGCTCCACGTGGTGCCGGTTCCAGAGGCCGTCCAGGACCTGGCGGTTCTGGTCTCGGAAGGGCAGGATCTGCGCCACCACCTGTCAGGGAGGAAGCCTGGTCATGATGGTCATCCTTCTCAGGATGAAGAAGAGGGCCTGGCCCTAAGGGCTGCAGGCCTTCTACTCCCTGGTATTCTCTGGCCAGTGGCTTCTGGACTTCAGGGGTTTATGGCCCAGTAAAGACTCCACATGCTTTTAAGTGACCAAAACAGAGTTACCAGCCAAAAAAAAGAACATACTTAAAATTATTTATCTTCAATGGCTATCAATTTTTAATAAAATACACTTTAATGCCAAAAACACAGCATGAACACTTCAGATTGAATGCATTCGGTATTGCTTTTCATTTTGCAGTTGAGACGTAAGAACCTCACCAGGACTGGCTCAGGTCTGGGGACCACTACTTGTGACTAGTACTATGGCAACTGCACACAGGAGTGGGTGACGAGCAAAGCCTTTGCCTGGGCAACTACCTGGTGTACCACACAGGACCTGGCTCTGCAGCCCACGTACCAAAGAGGGCAGGTGCAGTACACTCTCTGACAGTGTCACTGGGACTGGACACCCTCAGGCCCCGAGGCCTGTGCAGAATGAAATGGCTGCTGACCTGCATCCCTCAGGAGATCACCCTAAGCTCCTGCCTCTGAGCCTGGTTCAGATACCCAGACTTAGGGTCTTCTGGCCCCTATTCAGTTTTAAGATCTTGTCACCAGCCTTCTGGATCAAAACAGATTTCAGAAAGGAAAAATTTTTTTTTTTTTTTAAGGCTGACAGGTACAAGACAGAAAAGCTAATTCTAAGTCCCATAGTATCTGCAATAGAAAACCGGGTTCCGACAGCAGAGGCCCTGAGCCACCTCTGTAGAAAAGCAGGGACAATACGGGGAATCAGCCCAGACACGGGCCGAGAATCAAAAACGTTGGACACAGCAAGAGCAAGAGGCTGAACACACAGACAAGAACCAGCAGTCCTGCCTGCGGCTGGCTGGTGATCTGCACCTACGTGCACCTACTGCCCACCACAGGGAGGCCGGGTGGCTCAGACTTCACAATGCCCTCCAGCCTGGTTCCACAATTAGTGGTGCCGCCCTGCTGGTGGGGGCCTTGGGACCAGGTACACCCAGCCCTGGCAGGCTCTGAGTTGGAGCTCACCTGTTTGCCCAGGTAATGGTCCACACGGTACATCTCCTCCTCTTGGAAAAAGCTCCCAAGTTCTGTAGCCAGCTGCTGGGCTGAGAGGTGGTCATGGCCAAAGGGTTTCTCGAGGACAACCCGCAGCCAGGCACCCGGGCCTGGCCGGCAGCTGCTGTTGATGTTGCGGGCAATGTCTGCATAGGCAAAAGGCGGCACCGAGAAGTAGAAGATCCTGCCAGCCTCGCGGAGGCCCTCCCGCTGGACCTGAGCCTCAATGTCCTTGCTCAGAGTCTGATAGTCCTCGGCTGTCTTCAGTTGGCGGTACTGGCTCAACCGCAGGAACTGACCCTTGAGTTCAACACACCGACTGGGAGTCACGTCCTGGGGGCAGGAAAGGGATTCCAGGGCCTTGGTCATGAGCTCCTGGCCCTGTTTGGGGGCCGTCAGGGCAGCCCCATGGAAGCTGAAACTGTGGCCCTTCCCGGCCTCGTCCAGGTACAGCTGGAAAAGTCCCTGCCACAAGTACTTCTTAGCCAGGTCCCCAGTTGCTCCCAGCAGGATTATGGAGACATGTCCCTGGAGCTCCTGGGCCTGCAGGTAGCCCAGAAGGGTCACACACACAGCCACTGTGAGCATCTTCCAACTGCCTGGGAGCCTGGGATACAAACAAGGAACAAGGAAGGCCAGACATGAGCAGGTAGCCGTGTCTAAGGTAGCAAACACTTCCTGCCTGGCGAGAAACGGCCACACATGTCTCAGAAAAGTGTCACAGCTCCCCCAGCTTCCCTCTCCTTCCTAGGCAGCTGGGCTTCTGTGCAGGAAGTCAGTGGAGAGGGGGCCTGCCCTGCAAACAAGGCTGTGCCTGGGAAAATCACAGGCTACTTGGTAGAGAGGGACCATCCTGCTGCCAGGAGCAGGGAAAGTGGCCCGTGGCACGACAGAGGCCCCAGGCTGCTGCGTTAGAGCCGTGCACCTCGCACCCACAGCCATCTAAACTGTGAGCACAGGTCACGTGACCAGCAGGGCGACTCTAGCCCAGGAACAGGTGGAGGTCCTCGGGGCACAGCTGGAGCCGTGAGAGAGTGTGGCCTCTCACCTCGCCTGGTTTCTTCCCAGGTTTACTGAATTCTGGGTACAAAACCACTACCAGTAATAGTAGCACCAATAAAAACCCTCTGGGGCTGGGGGCTGGCTCAGGGGCACGGCACTTGCCTAGAATGCACCAGGCTCTGGGCTCGATCCCCTTCCCTGCAGAGAAACAAAAGCAGACCCTGGAGCCCACTGTGGAGAGTCAGGCCCCGCTCGACCCATTAGTAACTGGACAACCACTTAGCCTCACTGCACTTCAGTGTCCTGCCTGAACTGGGGGCAACGGGCACCCCTCCATCACTGAGTTGTCATAAGAATAAAGCGAGTTAATTCAAAACGTCTTAACTAATACCCAAAAGTATAAAAGTTGTACATTTTAACAAGGTACCATGAAGTGTTTGATACATATATATATATATATATATATATATATATATATATATATATATTAATTAATCTTTAAGTCAGCTTAATCCTATTTATCTCCTCAAACATTTATCAATTCTTTGTGGTAAGAATTCAAAATTCTTTCCTCTTGCCTTTTGAGATGGCCGGTACAGGATCACTATCTACAGTCCCTCGTGCACAACAGTGCTGGGAGCTCCTTGCTTCTAACTGTAACTTAGACCCACTGAGAAGGGCTTGGTGGTTGTATCATGCTTAGGCCAGCGACCACCACCTCTTAAGTAGCACATTTGTGGTAGCTGCTGTTTGCAGCAGGAACAAGAGCAGTGAACACCTGGGCTCTCACGGGCCAACAGTGTAATGGACTGGCTGGCTCCAGACGAGAACATACAGAACCCCACGGGGTGGGCTCCATTACAGTCTCCCCTTTGGCACATGGGAAAGCTAAGCCTTGGCAGGATGAAGGCCCCACGGTGAGAAAGTGGGGAGCTGGGGCTGACCCAAGGCTTCCTGGCTTCCCGGCAATTGCGAGCCACAAACCGTGAGGCAAGCCTGTCCTGACCCAAGGCAGCTGCCTGAGAGGCAAGAGGCCGGGGCGGGCCCAAGCATACCCAAGGGCTTGTTTATTCTGGCCTCTGTTCTTGCCGAGGTTTAGGGCCCAGTGTGTGAATCTGTTCTCCATGGACTCCATCCTCCAACTTCCCACCGAGGCTGGGCTTTCGGGAAAGGACAGGAGGAAGCAAGGAGAAAAGGAACCTGGTTGGCATCAAGGCTGATGGAAGGAGATACTGGAAGTGGGGCCCAGCCTGGGCGTGGGAGAGCGGAGGAGGAACCAAGGCTCCTGCGCACCCTCCATACGCCGGGAATGCCACCAGATAGGGCGAGAGCAAACCTGCAATGGCTTTAGGAGGCTATCAGATGGTTGCACACACAGGTGTACAGAAGGGGAAACTGAGGCTTGAAGAAGAAACTGAACTTAGAAAATGCCCGGAAGAACTTGCCAGCTTACCGCCCACTGTCCCTGCACAGAGGGGACCAATCTGCCTCTTGACTTGACGTCAGACCCTCTCCCCCTCTGCATCTTCCTCATGTCTCCAGAGATCCATTCCCAAGATGGCCCTTGTCATGGCCAAACCAAGAGGAAGGCCCATGGTGTCTGTCAGTGTCCACGGGACGCCTGACATTTCCATCCATCCAAGGCCCGCCCAGCTGGCCGACCAGCCTTCCTCTCTTGCTCTTCAAGTATCTGCACTTCCCCACAAATACACAGATGGACTTTCTTCCGTTTCCCAACCCCTGTCCTTGGCCCCTTGGACGCTTCTTTCTCAACTAGCCATCTCCCTGTCCAGAGGGAAGGACACGCTGCAAGGTCAGTGCGGAAAGCGGCAGGGAGAGAAATCTGAAGCCCAGAGAGCAGCCTGGAGAGGGAGGAGGTGCCAGCTGGCGAGCTGCGCTCCAACTCCTGAAGGTTCCTGCGAGCCAGGTTCGGGACACCTCTGTCACAGGGACAGGCTCGGGACACAGGGACAGGCTCGGGACACCTTTGTCACAGGGACAGGCTCAGGAAACTCAGCGGCTGATGGGCAGGAGGGGAGCCCAAAGCCAGCACCTCTGCCCTGCCCCCAAGAAGACTGCAGATATCCACACACCCAAATGGACAGCATCCAGCCCTCTGTCTAGCGCTGTCCCACCCTCAAGACCTGCCCTCACCACCAGCCCGGGTCCCGCCACTCTCAGGTTAGCTTATCTCTTGTTCACGTTCCAGAACTCCCTGAAATACAGAGTCGGGTATTTCAACATGATTGCTCACTCCATGGTTGCTAAACCCCTAGGGAACAACTCCTCCCCAAGAGGGTGTGGGTGCTACATTTGTGTGCACTGAGGTTTTGTTTTGTTTCTTTTGAACCTGAAGCAGTTGCTCAAACTTTAATGTGCACTTGGATTTCCTTGGGATCTTTTTAAAATGCAGATTATGATGCAAAAAGGTCAGAGCTGAGGCTGGTCCAAGGGATCACCTATGGCGAGATTCCCGGATGCTAAGCAAGGTCAGTACCAAAACGCACAAGCCTGGTCCTCCCCCTGCCAGGACAATGTGATTCAGCAGGTCCAGGACAGGGCAGGTCCAAATGGTATTTCTAAATAGTATCAAATGGTTTAATTGGCCCCTTCCCCATAACAGTGGGCCGCTGATTCCTGGGCCGAATAGTAACACCTACGTTGAGCAAGCAGTGGTGCAGGTGACTGACACGCACGGCCCTGCACGTTGATGCTCTTTGTACAGATGAGGGAACTGGGAGCTGGAAAGAGCTATGAGGCCCCAGACCCAACCCCTGGGTCCCTACACTAACCTACCTCCTTCCTCAGTGGAGGAACGTGTTGGGGTCCCGTGATGGGGGCTCAGCACCATCTCCCAGCAGGAAGACCTCACTAAAACACCTGATCAGTTTCTTTATCTATAAGAGGAGGCTGACTGAGGTGGGGGTGGGGGTGGGGAGTGAGAAGGGGCTGACCCAATCAGTGTGACCAAAAGAAAAAAAAAGCTTATACAAATGTCAACTAGTTAAGCTGATTAAACTAAAGCATCTCCAGACCCCTCTTGGGTTGCAGGACCGCAACCTGGAGATGATTTCCTCATCTCCAGGGACACCCAGCCCAGCTCTCAGACAGCCTGCGAACAGAGCCCGGAGCCACGGAGCACTCCATCTAGTCCCCACTGCACACCAGACACCCTCCAGGGTACCCAGACACGCCCAGTGAAGTCAGGAACAGGACCCCAGCCCCCGGAGCAGGGGTGAGGTGCAGGGAAGACGGATGGATCCGGCACACTCCCCCTGGTCTACACAGCTCTGTCGCACCGTGGAAGCTATGTGTTTGACGGCTTTTTTCTAAGCACTTGCTTCTCTCTCTGCTCTGAAAGACAGGGGACACTTGAAGTTAGGAAAAGCAAAAACAAAACCATGGAAATGGCTCCAGCAACTGATCCAACTATGAATTTTCTTCTCTATTTTTTAAAGTAAGAAATCAATAGTCAGGTGCAGCGGTGCACACATCAATGCAGGAGGCTGAGGCAGGAGGATCATAAGTTTGAGGCCAGCCTCAGCAACTTAGCAAAACCCTGTCTCAAAATTAAAAACAAGCTGGTGGTAGAGCACCTCTGAGGTCAATCCCTAGGACAAAAGGATTTTGGGGGAGGAGGAGGAGAAGATGACAATAAAGCTGGCCATGGTGGTACATGCCCAAAATCCCACTGATTTAGGAGGCAGAGGGAGAAAGATGGCAAATTCCCGGCCAGCCTCGGCAACTCAGCAAGACCCTGTCTCAAAATAAAAAATAAATAAAATGGGCTGTGGGTGTAGCTCAGTGGTAGAGCACCCTGGGTTCAATCCCCAGAAATAGGGGGTGGGGGAAGAAGAGGGAGAAAGATCAATCGATAAGAAAACCCTTAGTGAAAAGTTTGAGAGAAGTGTAGGACAGGAGGACAGGGTCTCAGCTTGGGAACTGGAAAATGGGGCCATTCCTGGAGGGGCCTTCCCCCAGACAACCACCTACTGAACAAGTTATCCACCCGGCGGGGCCTCAGCTCCCTCAATGGGGAATGGGGTCTGCGCCACAGCGTGGGCACAGTCCTGCACTGCCCCTCAGTCCTGTGCTTTCCAAGGAAAGGAAGTGGCCACCTATTGACAGGGAGATGCTCAGAGCCGTGGACCACCCAGCAGGGCTGGGAAACATGGGACCAAATTATGGTCAAGGAGCTGATAACCGAGCGTCATTCAGAAGTTCAGACAAAGCTCTTTGAAGGGACAACTTAAGAATGTGGAAGATACAGTTTCATTCTGATTCTTAGACAAGAGGCCAGACAGAAATGCAGCCGGGTGGCAGGGGTGGGGGCTCTGGAGGGCACAAAGCACCTTGGGCTGCCCAACTCTTGAGTCTCAGCTGCCACCCTGGGAGAGACTCACCTGTTAGACAGGGCCTGCTAACATCCCAGAAGGCGGGCGTCCCAACAGCCAGCCAGGGGGTTGGATCAGAATGCAGCTCTGGCCTTCATTTTACCCCCTGGAAGAGGCAGATATGGCCAGAGCCATGCAGCTGTCCCTGCCCAGGCCCAGCACGGGCACAGCCAGCCAGTGCCTGAGCTCCAGTAGCAGCAGAGTGGTTTCTGGTCAACCACAGGAGGAAGCCGTTCTGAGCCCTTATGCCAGCAGAGGAGGGCGGGGGAAGGCACTGGGAGGTTAAGGTCAGTGCTGCCCGCCCCCGTGGACACTTAAAACTGACACTAACAATGCTGCCAGGAAGGAAGAGCTTATGAGTCTGAACTTTTAAAAAGAACACATGGGAGAAAAGTAAGAATTCAGACCAAAGATCTCTTAAAACTGAAGCATAAGGTGAGGGACACCCTGCCAACCCAAGTATCTTTGCTGCACATTCCCTTCTTGCTCTGCCCCCACAGGTGCCAAAACTCAATTGTGATGCAAGATCAGTGGACTTTGATCTGTACTGGTTCCCCGCAGGGAGAGACTGGGCCAAAAGCTTCCTGACCCAGCTCTGAGGGCCTGACCTAAGGGAATCCTCATTCCCAACGCCTCTTGAGATGGCAAGTGTGGGCCGTACAATCAGCCGTGCGCTGGACCACTTCACACTCACACGAAGGTCCAGTGCTGAGTTGTCAGGAAACTGTCCAGCCTGTTTTTAAATACAGCCATCATCAACACGGAATATATTTATATGTAAATCGTACTAAAAACAAAGGTGATAAACACTCAAAACTCATAACCTCCTAATCATTTGGCGCTTTTTTTTACTATTATGTATGCTCTTGACATTACTTATTGCTACAGGATCTATAAAGTGAAGACCTTCTAGAACAGGGCGTGCCTAAAGTTGGCCAATGTGGGAATATTTATGCAGACATTGGAAAGGCTATAAATAAGACTCCCCAGCACCAACTCCCCCACCTTGCACAGCCAGCTGTTAAACATTTACTAGCACACAACCGCCCAGGTAACCAAGCCTGTGTTCCCAGTATGGACATCCCCCACTCAACTCCAGACTAGTACCATCAGGCACTGCTGACCGCATTAGCTGTGCATCTATCTACCAGACTTAATATGTTCAAAACTGAACTGAGCCATCCCCCAACCTAGTCAAATGAACTCTCCTCCCCCTACCTCCCACCCCCGCTCTCTTCTCAGTAAATTGCAACTCTCCTCTTCTAGGTGCCCAGGCCACTAATCTTGGGGTCATCTGATCTGATGGTAAATCTTGTAGTTTCTATCTTCAAAATTTATCTAGAATATAACTACTTCTTGCCACCTTCTACCACTCCCCCCATCTGTCTGGATTACTGTGGGAACCTAATTAGCCTCCTGCCTCTAACTCTGGCCCCTGGAGAGTTGCGACTCCACACAGCACTCAGAATGACCTCCTAAGTGCAGGTGAAAGAGTGTCATTCCTCTGTTCAGAGGTCTCAGGCTCCACACATTTGGGCCCCGCCCCCGTCACCCCCTGGACCTCTCTTCCTACTTCCTACTCTCTCTAGGTTCTGCTCAACCTGCTGCCTCAGGCCCTTTGTACTTGCTTGCTGTTCCCTCTGCCTGCTCCCCCAACTCCAGTGGATATCCACATAGCTCCTCCTAACTTCAGCTCCAGGGGGCTTCCTCAGGCCACTCCATTAAGCTGTAAACCCGCCACCTCCCTTTGCCCTCTCTGCTCTCCTCCCTGCTGTATGTTTCTGGGCTCACACTGCTTTCTAATGTACTGTTTGATGACGACTTTGCTCATTGCCTGCTAGTCCTCCCTGCCGGAATCTCAGTCCAGTGAGGACAGGGACCGTGGCTTGTTTGGCCCACTGCAGCAGCCCAGTCTCCAATGGCCTGGCTCACAGGAGGCACCCTGTAAACATCTGCTGAAGGAACCAATAAGTAAATCCCGTTTGCACGGGTCTGCTGTCACCTTGTGTGCACGGTACCTGCATTTGAGTGACAGCACATTGGAATGAAGCTCTCCTGGTGACTTCAAGCACAGGGACAGGGCACACATCGGCAGCTGGTTACCACTACTAACAATACTAACTTAACAATACTACTAATAACAAGAGCTGTGGAGAGTACTGAACGGCATGCCAAATGCTAGGCTCGGAGCTAGACATGGATCCTGTCACTTAATCCTTTCCACAACTCTGCAGTAGGTCCTTCCATCAACCCTGTGTTTGGTCATGAGAGGAAACTAAGGTGCAGAGAGGTAAGATAACTTACTGACAGTCAGCGTAGAGTGGACAGGGTCTGCGTACAAGCAGTCTGGTTCCAGAGCTAACCTCTCATCCACCTGCACAAAGTGTGGCTACATCCTCAAGGGCAAAATGAGAACATGGCATGGTCTGCTCCTCTGTAAGGCTGGACCAAGGGTGGCTGAGGCCACATAAGCCATGTCTCTCACACAGGCCAGCCGCTATAGCAGCTCTGCTCCATGAGGTCAAGTCGCCCTAAACACTAATGGCTGCTAATCAGCCTGGGCCTCACGTCCACAGTGA